CAAGAATCTCAAGAAATGTGGCTGGGAGTCCCTGTTTAACTCTGGGGGGGCAGGACTGTCCTGGGTGTTAGGAATCTGCTGCCCAAATTCTGTCTGGAGAATGCTGCCTTTGCAGCTGTCAGAAGGTGATAGAGGCTCCTTCTGAACAGGTAATGTGTATCCCCAGTTGACCAGGTGGGTCCATGAAGAAGGAATACACTATTGCAGTATTTCCAAGCATCTTTCAGCTTGGGGTATGAGACAAACCAGAAAACTGGGCACTAGAGCATGAGTTGTAGGAGGAATACTGATAAAATGGTACAAAAGCAACAAAAAATGAAGAAAAATAGCCCAGCAAAATCCAGCTTAAGGTTCTTTTTTGGTGGTTTTTTGGTAGCTGTTATTCTTTGGTGTACAGACAATTGCTGGGTGTATTAGCATAAATAATGTTTTTTCAGGAATTCATGTTATACTTACATTATAACCTATATGTTATTGGACCATTACCTATATGTTGCCATTAAAATACATGGTTAGCTAATTATAATATTTAATTGCATAGCACATTACTTGCCTTGCTACCTACCAGAATTAAGTGGTCCAAACAAAAGTTTAATTAATAACACTGTAAAGACACCACCCACTGGGATAAATTACTTAAAAAATAAAGACTTAATCATTGGTAATTTATAAATCAAATTGCAAAACTGAATTTTTAAAAATTGGAATAAAGAGTTTAAATTAATGGCTTTATCAATATTGCTTCTACAGAAATAACCTGTGCAGAAATTTGAGATAAAGAATGATAGTTGAGCTTTCAGGGCTTTTTTGTTTGTAGGTAGTTGAACACTGAATTTAGCTACATTTCACATCTCTCTTGTGCCCTATACATTTCAGTTGATACATATGACTTTACAGAAAATTAAACAAATTATGTAAATCATGTTCAGAGCTGAATTTGATAACAGAAATTGAGGAGCCTGTTTTTAGACAGTCCGAGATAAAAAATGCTTTCCAAGGAAAAGCTAGTTAGCTAGTTAGTATGCAAGGGAAAAGACAGTCAAAAAAATATAAGAATACAGTAACCTGAATAGTGCTAAGATATGCTCCTTGTACAAATTATTTATATTTGCTCCCCTTGCTGCTAGCAACAAAGTCTTAAAAAAAAACAAAAAAAAAAAAAGACAGCAGTCATAAAACAAAGATTGAAGATGAGGCTTGTTCTGGAGACCTATAACCCGGAAAGCAGAAACAAGGTGCATTGCATCTGCCAGATGACAAGCAGATGAGCATCCTTCCTCTAGGAAGGATGTAATGTCACTTAAAAGATCAGTGCTGACTGTGGATTCTAGGAAGTTGGAAAGGATTGTTTGCTTGCTTGTATACTTCTTCTGATCAGGAGAGGTTTTTAGGGTAATTGGATCAGACTTAGTATCTCAGATATTCATAAGCCATAGAATGGTTTGGGTTGGAAGGGACCTTAAAGATCATCTACTTCCAAACCACCTGCCCTGGGCAGGGACACCCTCCACTAGACTGGGTTGCTCAAAGCCACATCCATTCTTTGCTGTGAACACTTCCAGGGTTGGGGCAGGCACAATTTCTCTGGGCAACCTGTTCCAGTGCCCCACTACCCTCACAGTAAAGAATTCCTTCCTGATATCTAATGTTAACCAACCTTCCTTCAGTTTAAAGCTATTTTTTTCCTGCCCTATCACCACATGTCCTTCCTTGTAATAAATCCCTTTCCAGTTCTCTTGTATTGTCACTTTATGTTCTGTACAAAAATACTATAGGCTGTTTTTGATTGCAATAAAACCCCTCTAAAGAGGCAGAGTCCTTTCACTCACTCTCCTCATTTGCTTCAGTCAGGAATTACCTTTTTTATGTGCCACAGCAGGTTCTGGACTGTAATATGGTGCTGCTAAAAAATATCACTCCTTTTCAACTGCATGCCACAGACAAGCATGGCAGAGTCCTGCTGCTTCCTATGGAGAGACGAGCTTGGGGTCAGGGCTCTTGCTCTGGGGAGCAGGAATTGAGCGTGGCAAGGTGTGAGGAACACAAGCGGCACACGGGGCTGTCCACCCCTGACCCATGGCACAGAGCACAGGCAGCTGTGCCATCCTGGCCCCAGGGGACAGGCTCCTCCCTTGGCTGTCCTCCCCCACTGCCCTGCAGCCAGGAAACGGGATAGGGATAGCTTGGCTCACAGATCCTCTCACAGGACAAATGTCATGTTCTTCAAAAGATGTCTGTAGCAAGATATTCAGGAGATACTTCTGTTCACTGTGCTTCTGCTGATAAAATGAACAATGTAATTGAAATAATTTAATAAAAGTTGTTATGCATGGGGACTTCAACATCATACTTTGTTTGAACTCTAGTCTTCATAATCAGTTTTTTTCTTGCTAATCTCTAATCTCTGTTACGTTTTACTAACAGTATGGGAACTGATGTTTACCCAAGAAATACCTTTTATATTCAGTTTTCTGGTTGAAATGACATTTGGAATTTGAGACTCTTAGCATCACCAAATCATCTGGATTTTCTCTGTGTGGTTTAATATTCTCCTGAAAATATTGGAACGTAATCTGTACAACAATTGAGATATAGTGAGCAGCCAAAGAGCTCCTAACAGAAGAACAAACTATCATTTATCAGTGGCTCAGGGATGCTGCCACTGCATGGATAGCTAGTCCACAGCACAGGTAGAAGTTAATTTGCCTTTGGCATGCCTTGGAATAGAAAAGCAGGGTGGGAGGCAAGTGCTGCAGAGCAGCAGTAGCATTGCAGTGTGCTTGTTGCACAGTGACATCAAATCATTGCGCTCTAGTCCCATTATTTCTATTTTAAGGATATCATATGGGGAGTGTGCTGCCAATTTGGTTTGAAGTTTGTGTTGCAGGAGCTACTTTCTAAGGCTTAAACAGAGATACCTACTGTATTGTGTGTCATTTTATCAGCTCAACTCACAGTTTTTTAGAGGAAAAATAATAGGATCTTTCACTACCTTAAAGTAAGCAATTAATTTAGTTTTCTGGAGGACATCATAAAGAAACTAGATGAGACACTTACTGAAATTTAAATTTCTTTTACTTATTGGTCTGTTTAGTGAAAAACCCCAGAAGGTAAGATCACTGAGCAAATTGGGTAGGAAATTTTCAGTAAAGCTCGTGTTGATTCTGCTGGTCTTGTAAAAATCAATTGACCAGGAGAATTGGTCACTTTTCTCATATTATTTCCCCTCATCTACTCCTGCTTAATAAGCATTTCTAAGATTTGGATAAAAAAATTAGCATATTGAAAGTGCAAGTTAGAATACGGTGTTGAACAATATATTAATGCAAGTTCTGATGCCTTAAAATATACCAAGCAGTAGAATTCCCTAAGAAAATTATATTGAAATTTCTGTAATTCAAACCACCTTATTGTAACACCACTTTGTGTCAAGTGTTCCTTCCCTCTGACCTCATTAGGCGTGCCTTGTCATTAGATACACTGTTACTAAAGAGTTTTAACTTAAAAGCTGCTTTGATTAATGCTTGGTTGGACTGAGGATTTATTGTGTAGGATTAACTTGATTTAAAAATGGCAAAACGCCATTAGTAATTTTAATGCCAGACTTTAATGAGAAGCAGAAGTAAACTCCAAGGACCCTTATGATTTTTAATATGGACTAAATTCATGTGCTCGTTACCTTAATGTCCTGTCCTATTTTATATACAGGTACTCCAATAATTCCTAGGGAGTAGTAGCCTAGAAAATGTATTACCAATGTGTAACATGAAGTATGTACATATTTTTAATTAATCATAATTTTTTATAATTTTATAATCAGATTTATTCAGTATTATTATCAAATAGAGAAAAACTCTTTGCATTGGTTTGGACTTTTTAAATTAAGAAACTATATGGGAGAAAGACAAAACTAGACTGGCAAGCATTTTTCCCAATACATAATGTACTGACAATGTTGATGAAAAATGCATTTTCACATTTTTGTGTAATTTGCTAACCGAATTTCTTTTTACTGTCTTCTTAAGTTCATTAAGTGTTCCTGAAAGTTTCTCAAGTTGACATTTCTAGAGTTGAATAACCTTATTTTTTACTATTGATCACATATTTTAGTATATGATACTGCCAAGAAAATCCAGACCATTCTCACATCTGACAACATTTGGTCGTCTCCTTAAATCCTACTAGACTAGGATTTAAGCATATACTTAAAAGGTAATGCACTGCTGAATGAGGGCCTTTGTATCTGACACTTTTCTGTCTATGCTATCTTTGCTGAGATAACCAAAGGGCACTGATTTATTATTAGTGCTAAACAGGAAAATCTTTCAAAAAGCTTGTAAACTTTTTTTTTTTTTCTGAATTGATGGTGATTTCCCAATTTTGTTTATTTTCCATGAACTTTCAATAGTAGAAGCATGTAATTAAATTTTTGTTTCTGCACAGTTATATACTGTGTGAATTAGGCACAATGTACTAATAAGCAATAGCAACAGTTCTGGTACTGTCCCTGCCAAAGCAGGTAGGATGGCATTCAACCAAGTTCTTGGGCCGTAAGGCCAAATTTCTCATCGAAATCACAGATGTATTGGACATGACTTAAATAGGATTACTCACTCAAGGAAATTTACACAAGGGTCTAAGGCGTATATCCAGCTTCCAGTGGGTAAGGAGCCTGCATTCTCATTTGGCTCTGGGCCTTGAGCACTTGCATAACGTTGCTTGTGTAACTTACCCTGCCAAAAATGAAACCGGCATCAACATGGTTACTCATTCCAGAAAAATTGTGCCTGTGGACAAGTGATGACAGTCAGGGATCCTGCTTTCTTTTGTAACACACTGAAAACTTTTGTTTTCACTGGTGATTGAAGCTCTTTAGCCAGTATTACCATTGCAATCCCTATTGATCATTTCTGTACCACTGAGATGTTTTTGTTGGGTTTTTTGTCACTTCTGGATTCTTTATTTGACTCATTGCTATTATTTGTTTTTCCTTTTTTTAGGGAGAAGGCCAGCAAAAACGAAGGACAAAAAAAAGAAGAAAAAGAATTTGATGGAAAGGGCTCAGAAGCAGCACAGCATCTTTTTAGCAACAGATAAAACAAGCCAGTAAAGACTTGGTTTTCCTTAATGTATTTTTTTGCAAAGTGCACAAAAGCTGCTATATGCTCCTGCCCATGGATGCACTAAATTCAGCTGCTTTGACAGTATTGGTGGCAAATAACTTGTGAAAATAAAGCCCACAAGCTTGTTTGTTTTATTTATATATTTTTTATTTTATTTTTTCCTCTCATTTTTGACCTGGAGACTTCAAGGTCAGGAGTGCACTGAGTTGGATCAGTGAAAGTGGTCCTGAAGTGCATCAACGATATTGTTCTTAGTGCCTGGTCAACATGTTGACAAGGAAAGAAACCTACACAGCACCAGTAGGTGGACTTGTGCATATTTAAATAAATAGGGGAAAAAAAGGAAGTCTTGGAGGTGTAGGTACAATTGCATTTGTGGCCTTTGTTTCCTATATTTGTATATTTCAAGAGTAAATGGGTATGACTTACCTACTTAGTGTTAATGTACATTGTTCTCACACCTGTTACGTTGACACAGTCGTGTAATAAAACTGCTTTAAGACAATGTGCTGCAGGATTCACTGCTTAGTCTCACCCAAGCACAACAGGCTCTGTGTGTACATATTACTCTGTCTACATATAAATGAGCATATTTACTGTACATCTATGCATTTTTATGTATAATACTTTATACATGTTTAAAGGTATGTCCTGTTCGTTCTAGTAATGTACTTTAAATAATCCAGTAAATGTTTACTTTTTGCTTAGTTTTAACTATCTTATGTTCCTCAATAGTATTAACTGGATTTTTTTTTCTCCTTTGCAAAGCACACTCATTTCCAGAACTACCTTGCACTGAACCTCACATTGGAGTGTCAGCTCTGAAGTGTACTTGCCAGATTGCCAGACTAGTAATCCAAAAATTCTTTCTACTATTCACTATTTCTGCCTCAGCCCCCATGTATTTTGTCTCAGAAAAAGAAGTTAAATGTTTTTTAAGGTGAGGCACAACCATGATAGAAGTTTTGAGTGTCAGGAGAGAAATTACTTGTAAAGTTCTTGGTATCTAAGACTGTGTAGTTTGGGTGTTTTTGTTTTGTTTTTGTTTTTTTCCAATGTAATGCAGTGTTTTATTTCAGTTAGTCCCAACACAATCAGATAAGAAAACAAATAATTTTTTTCCCTGAATAAAAGAGAAACAAAATAAAGTTCATGTATGGTCAACTATTCAAAAGTATAGAAAACACCAATTCCCCAGTATTGCCAATTATTTGTAGAAGCTTAACAAATTTATTCTGCAGCTGTTGTTTGCTTTGAGATATTTTTTGGGGAGGGAGAGGTAGAGAAAATTTTCTGTGTAGGACATCAAAATGGCACAGGTCATGTAATTTGGTAATCTAGCATTATTGGGCTATCATTCAAAATGATTTTTGGATACCTGACAGGGAAAGCCTACACTAAAATGGGTGTCACTTAAGAGAAATTATTTCACTCTTAGACCTAAAACTTGCATAATACCTACACAAAAAAATGAAGCAGCAAAACAGACTGCAGACCTCCACAAGCCTCTTTTGACATATACTTTAGAAAAATCCTACAAATTTCAGTTTTAGTTTTATGGGTTATATGCTTTTCAAATAAACTAGGGAAATAAAGCATCTGTAAGCACAAATATATCTGTATTTAGCTATGACAAGTGTTACTACCAAAATGTACATATGTTAGATACATATGAATATTCCATCAAACTGCTTGTGGACTTCCACTCAACCATGAGGTTTTCACTGTATGTTCATATTTACTTAGAACATAATAATGTTGCAGACAGTAAGATTATTCTAATCCTGGGATGCTATTTTGGACATAAAATTCTCACTTAAAAAAAAAAAAAAAAGGCAATGAGAACTGTAGCTGTCTGTTTGTTTACTGGTAATCAAATTTGGCTGTAAGTGCAGTTAATGCCCTCATACAAGCCTTTCAGTAGTGGTTACAAATATTGTATTAGGCATGTCATAGAAAGAATGCTACAAAATACAATAAAATGGTGTCACAAACTCCTGAGTAAAATATTTTTGGTCCTTTTTAATTCAAATAGCATATTCTTTTGGAATTTCATACATGTAGAAAAATTGCAGAAGGTGGGGAGATGCAGATTTGCCTCCAGCGGAGTAGAAAAATGTGAGGGTTTTCCATACAACTGTTTTGTTTGAGAAGATCCTGAGCATAAGATGTACATTTATTTCTCCTGTCCCAGTTACCCTCACACCAAGAGTTTTCTTGGGAGTGTAGAATGAAAATAGTTATCCCTAAGTGGCCCTCTGTAGTTCCTCCTTTGTCCTGGACATCCTGCCTTTGCATGGTGGACCCTGTCAGTGTGCTCATAGCACTGGGATTTTGGAGGATCACACTTTGGAGGTTGGAAAGGACTGTTCCTTGCACATTAGGAAAAGGCTTTGCACTGAGAAGGCATTTGGTCACAGGCTCTTCAGGGAAGTGGTCATGGCACCAACCTGTCAGAATTCAAGGAGTGTCTGGACAGTGCTCTTAGTAATATGGTTTAGTCTCTGGTACTCCTGTGAGGAGCAGGGATTTGACTCAGTGATCCATATGGGTCTTTTCCATCTTGAGATGTTATATGATTTTATGAGTCTATGACCTTGAGAGATCAGCTAGTCAAAATGTTTGCTTGAAACAGGGCTACATAGAAATTATCTTCAGATACTGTTTCTTGATAAAGTGAAGATCAGGTTTTTAAAGCTGGATAGCGTAACAGCAGCCTGTGCCCACTGTACCTCTTATTTCCTTTAAACTTGATCAGAAGTGGACTTACAAAGATCGTAGTTCTTTTTTGATAAGCAGCTGACTCCAAAAGGGTACAAATGCCACCTTTTCCCCCCCTTCCCCTTCATAGCTGTTACTGCTTTTTGAATGTTTCTCTCAAAGAGCAGAAGGTTTCAGTGCAGTGTAACTTTTGTGTTCACGAGGCTTTTATGCTCTAGTGTAATGATTCACTATTGGAAATTTATTTTAAACTACAAAAGATTCAAATTAGGAGGACAAAGAACTTTATATGCTGTAGTAATTGTTTTTAAAGTGCTGTTATGTTGCTATGACGAGTAGAAAGTGCTTTTTCAAAACAATACATTATTTTATATCTTGTTCATGTGTCCCAGAAAAGACAATTGCATAGTTCACTATGTATTTAGGATCTCTCTATTCTCAGTTTGCCTTAGTTTATCCTGGCCTCCTAATATCTATCTCTAAACTAAAACAAAACAAAACCAAACAGAACAATACAGAAAAAGAAAAAGGAAAAAAAAATCTAAAAAATACCCCAGGTGCATGTTTAAAGCAATTATTTTGTGGCTGACTGGTCTTTATTGCATCTCAGCTACTCTTGTCAGTGAGCATTATTGTTATATGATGTCTCTTTGTTTTTTCCTGGGTGAAAAAAACAATTGCATTCCACATTATGGTGATGCAAACCTTCCATGTTACGAATGTCAGTCAAAGGAAATTGTTCTCTTACACCTGTATGCTCAATATAAAGATGTCAGCAAAAGAATATTGAATAGTTGTGGAGCTTACATGATGTGCCTTCATTTATCAGTATGAGTCACAGAAAACTGCAGAGCAAGGAAAAAAGGTGGATTTTCATCCATGTTAGCTAAAAACAAACCAAAGATCAATTAAGTGCCATGTTAACTTTTTTAAACAAAAATGTTGCTAAAATCCTGTTTGAAGCCTCTGAAAATGAGAAGACAGATCTTTTCCGGACAGATTAAAATCAAATTCAGTGCTTCAGCTTTTCTATGCTGATGAAATAGAGTATAGAATAAAAATAAGCAGATATTTCCAGCACAAGTGCCATGCTTTTTGAAGTGGGTGATGTTACTGAAGGCTGATGCTACCACTTACCAGAGGGTATGAGAGTTTTGAATTCAAACTCTCTCTCTTCACTAACAAAATGTATTCGTCTTTTGACACCAGTTCACTTTCACGTCCAATGGTGTAAGCCAGCATGAATTCCAGTAAGCTCTAGACTGAAGTTATTTTGGACTGACACCAAGAAGAACAAAATGTACCCTTCTGAAAGTGTAACCCAGAAACCACTGTCAGCTTTTTGTTTAGTTCTTTACCGAAAGCTCTGTGCTGAACCTGGCTTCATTTCTTTTATGAGAAGCCTCAGCCCCAGGACTGAGGAAAGGACATTAACTTTAGGAAGTATTAGAGCAGCTCGAGCTGCAGGATATCTGGGGGAAGAGCAGCTCAGTATTTGGAGTGCAGTTCCTCTCAGAAGTGAAAAACTGCAAGAAAAGAGTGACTAGAGAGAGCGTTCGAAGTAAGCCCAGCCTTTAGTCCATTGCCAAACTCTTCCAGACTTCAACTGATTTTTTTTAATGCAAACTAGTTCTGTTTATGTCTAATAAACATATGTCTTCAACCTCAGTGAAGCTGTATACTTACTTAAAGAGCCAGTAATATATCTGTGGTCGTGCCAGCTGCAAAAGTGCTCCCAACCTCCTTGTTTTCAAATAGTGTCTTCAGTGACACTCATGCAACACTTTATTTTAATTGGGCAATACTGATGGAGCTAAGAGTTTATAGACCACAAATGAATAAACACTAAAATTAGGCTGGTTTGTTCTACTCCTGTGATTTTTCAAAGTAGAAATTCAGATCAAGAAAGCAAACAGTAGCTGTTAGAAAATATGTCTTGACTTGCAACTGTTTCTTAGCTTCCCTTCAGACTTTAAGAGGGCTTTATGAGAAAGATAAGAGTTTTGGGGGGTTATTTGGGGTTGTTTAGTTTTATTTTTTCCCCTGATGTCTTTATTTTTTAAATTTTTATTTATTATTTTTATTTTATTTTTAACTTTTTTTTTTCTTTTGTCAGAAACTGCAGTGAGACTTTCTGTTTGCTTTCTGTTTCTGAGTGGACTTGGTTCCATCTACAGAAGCTAAGGACCACAACTGCAATGGGGCTCCTGATATTTGCCCCAGAATTCTCTCAGTCTTTTGTTTGTCTTGTGGTAGGTACATGAAAAGTCTCAGGGACATGGAATGCAGCCACAGGATTTCTCTGTCATGGCCTGGTGTTCTGCTTTTGGCCTCATGTTCCTTGTTGTGCTATAGCCTGGCTTCAGCAGGAGCAGTGAACAGTTTTTCTGCCATAAATGTCTTCTAGTCTGCATATTCTCTTGACTAGGGCATGTGATTTCTAACTCTAAGGCTGATCTTAGTAATTTATTTTGTGGTCAGATATTTTCTCTCTGGAGAGAATTAAAGAGAAATTCAAGGACTAATGGTCTATAAACGCATGATGAAAGGCATGTATGTAACCTCTCACAGCTATAATCACACATGAATAGCTAAGTGTATAGGTAAATATAATGACCATCCCTGATCCAGTGATTGCAGATGCTTAAGGGAGTATGAGATGAATGGACAGCAGATAATGGCTCAGGTATTACACAGTATTGCTCATTGATACTGTTGGAGACAGAATATTAAACTATTGGTTTGACTTGTTAGAGCTTCTCTTTTAGGCTTTTCTGGAAAAATATGTTGTGTTTGCTGTTCTACTAAAATAATTTAGATAATGGGTTTTCTTCCCTTTATTTGGTTAATAATGGATTTATAAATTCAAATTAGTTTAATTTCAGTTCAATGGGATAATTTAAAATCAAAGTCTTTGATCAGTTCTCTTGGGACTGTTGATGAAGACAGTCAGTGATCTTAGCAGGGAAAGTAAAAGGTATATTTGACTTTGAACTAAAACTGTGACAGTTAATGACAAGGTGATAGCTTGTAGAAACTTGGTAACAGGAAGAAAGATGTGGAATAAATATTTTTCATTCTTAATTTTACATGCACTAATGATAAATATGTGTGAAGGTTGAATGATAGCAATTTAAATATCTGTAGTGAGATGAAAAAAAATTGGGTAATTCTGTATGTAAGTAACTGCAGTTCTGCAATGCTGATTATTTGAATGAGGGAATATATCTTCATTTTTACTCTAATTTTGAGTTTATTTTTTTCTTTCATGATAACAAGGATTTGGGGGTTCTGCCTACTCTTTCTTCCTCTTCCCTCCTGCTCCCTGGTGCTCCCTGGTGCTCTGTCTGCCATAATTCAAAGGATTCCCACAAGCCCAAAGCTGCAGATGCTTTGCAATATGCATCTGACTTGGATATGTTTTGGCATGTTTTTTCAAGTGACACAGCCACACACTCTGAAAAAAATCCAGATGTTATTCTGAGAGAGAAAGTAGGTAGCACATGCATTCCAGGTAAGTGTATTAATTCTTATTCTTTCCCCGGTCAGTTTCATTCTTTTAGGTGTGATGCAAGAAGAAAGAGCAGATATATTTTCTGGGAAGCCTCCAAATCCATTTGGAAAAGTAAAGATTTTTTACCATACTAGAATTGAAAAATATTGGTGTAGTTTTAAGCAAAATGCTACTATTGTTATGCTGAATAGACAGAGGAGATGGAGAACTCAGCTCCACAACATAACTTCATGCCACAAATAACCTGAGCATAAAATTATTTTTGCCCTATTGAAATGACAAACAACTGATAAAAATATTGATGAAGGTTTCTTGCGCAAATAAAGATCATTTAAGGCTCATGAACTCTTTGCTAACAATGAAGAAAATATGTGCATTTCAGCCTGGACTACTGTACCACCAAGGCATTATTCAAGACCAGTCTTGAATCCTAGGATTGATTTTTTAAGATCTGGAATAGGACTTGAAACATAGAGCAGGCCAATTTTCATTTCTTTAGTGCAATATCATGGAATCATAAAATGGTTTGAGTTGGAAGGAATATTAAAAATCATCTAGATCTTTAGAAATAAACTCTCCAACCAGTTTGATAGGCTAGAAAGTCAGCATTTTATTCAGTATTGTGGGTGCATGGGGATAGCTCCACCTAATATACACAAAACTTTCAAAACTTTTCATTATTTATAAATTTTAACAAACAAATTATTGGTCATTGGCTATAACTTACATAATTTGCTTCATTAATTAGTATTGTGTATT